ATTGTAATTCCATTTTCCATTTAGTAATACACTTGTTGTGTTTGCTATTTAAATTCCTAAATCTATATCTTAAGAGTGGTTATCTTAAGTGTGAGTTTTAGGTTCTAGATATTTAATTAAGTGTGTTATATCTTAATTAAGTTCTAGACTTAACCCCAAGTTAAGATAAGAGTGTGTAATATCTCTTAAACACCAACTTGGTTTATCCCTTCATTTTACCTCTTCCCATTTCATATCTCTCCATTTCTTCTTCTTGAACTTATTCTTTTCTTTCATCAAAAACCCAAAAAAACAACTCTTTGTTCCACCCCCATATTTTGTCTCCCTCATTTCCTCTTCACCATCCCATAATTCCATCTTCAAATAGCAACTTGATTATACCCCGGGTCTCGGGTATAACAAATTTGGATTCTTATTTCAAATTTGACACAACCTACATGTTTGCGAATCCAAAAAAATGGAATCGGATTTGGATTTTGGGCCTAATTCCTCTAACTCCCAACAAAGCTCGATTACAAACCCATACACTCTTGTTATTTGAAATCCAAAAATTCAAAATTTAGAATTGGCATTATAACATTTATGAGCCTAATAGACATTGCTTGTACACCAGAAAGAATTTTAATCAAAAGTATGCATAGCATTGTATTAACATAAAGTGATTCTCGGAAAATCAAGACCTTGGTTCATGCTAGAGAATAATTGCATAGAAAAGTTGGCAAGCTTTAAATAACACATCATTTTCAATTACCAGGTTTAGAACCATGGAGATACTCATGTGAAGATGCTCCCATGTGGAGAGATTATCTCCTGTCCATGTTGCAGCATACTTTTGGCTACCAATAAATCCTGCTCGTGTTAGAACAAAGGGTCGCTTATTACTATCAGCTAGCTTCATCCCTTCAAATGTAGATCTGGCCATCAGCATGCCATAGACCTCAAAAAACACAGCATCATTGAAGTTAATATTACAGAGTAATTACATGAAACATAGAAGCAAGTAAAGACTACAACAAGCTCGGTACTTGATTCAGTTACCTAAATAATATATACAACTATGTATTGATTCACAATCTAACATATTAAAGAATGAAACCAATTAAACAATGATTTCAGAGATCTCTGGTGGTACATTGTGGTAATACAAATGATTTTGTCTGCTTCCAAATTCATCATCTCCTCTATGAATATTGGTTTCAGGCATTGTCTTTGTTAGAGTCTGCAACAGAAAATTCACAGAAAAAGAATATGGAATTATGGCACTAAAATAATAAGAGTTTATATAAAAACAAATTAGTCAACCTTAAAAACAGCTGGTTCGTTCATATCATTCCATATTCCATCAACACCATTAGAGACGAGATCTTTAATCAAACCAGCCCACCATGACCGGACATTTGAGTGTGTGAAATCGGGAAATACACAAGGTCCAGGCCACACATCACCTATTTAAGTAAATAAAAGTAACATGCTAAAAACCATATGCATGTACACTGGAGAGGGTACATTACATTAATGAAGGCCTTGGGTTTATAAAAGTTAAAACTGCATACCCACAAAAGGCTTGCCATCAGCTGTTTGAATCCAAAGATCTTTTTCACATCCACTGTCATAGACAAAATAACCCTTTTCGCACTTAATGCCAGGATCAATCATCCAAATGGCTTTGAAACCACTTTGATGAAGATCATGCACAAGGGATTTTGGATCAGAAAAATGCTCCTAATAAAATAACAAGTTAGAAAACAGAAAGCTAAAGATATGAACATACTACACAATGGATAGTCACATAATAGAATATGGATGATGAAACCTAACAGATTTATATCAGCAGATATCCCTTGAGACCAGACCAAAAATAAATATCTGAGTGGAGCTGCTAAGGTATCCAGCCATGGAGTTCAAAGCTAATCTGAATATGTTATTTAACTAGATGGAGTGCACAATCTAAGTGAAATAAGTAGTGCTATTCCCCTGTGGAAGAGGTTCAAAGTTCTGTCCTTTAAAATGGAGAGGATATATGTAACTATTATGGTACTTCGTATAAACAGCAAAAGAAACCTCTAAGATTATTTATTGATGTGAAAGAGACATAAATTAACCAAAAATGCCACCATATATTCCATAAGTTAGAGAGCAGTCCATGGTAAAAAACAGTGTGACAATGAACAAAGTAGTTGATCATTTCAGTAGACCAGTACACATAGCCAATCCTGCAACAGTTCCAATAAAATGAAAGATAAAGTAGACACCTTATTTGGACTGTGAAGAACATACCTGGTTAAATGTGAAACACCGAAAACCATCCATGTAGTCTATGTCCATCCATATGACATCACAAGGAATTTTTTTCTCACGAAATGTCCTTGCTATCTGTTTCGAGTAAACAAAATAGGACTTGAGGAGATGAGTTGATAAAGTAGTCCACAAATAAGATTTAGGAACACCTTTAGGCCATTGAGAGTACTGATGAACCTTTGCATTTGTTAGAATAATATTTGTTATGCATAGTTTATCTCTCTCTTTCCATCATCTCCGATGGAGCCAAAGATTCAATATTTTTTGGCTTTGGGTATGATAGAATAAAGCAAAATGGTTCTTTAAACTATATGTGCTTCTTTTTTAATAGTGAAGTAGTTGTTAGTCAATGCAACTTTCGACGCTCATCATGAG